TGTCTGACCAATCAGTGATCTGCAGTGTTTCACGTCACATTTTAGTACCGGTACGGTACGCTTGGAACCTCAACAGACCAGGTACCATTTAAAGCGACCCGAAGTGAACCGTACTGTACCGTACCATGCAGTGGAAAAGCACCACAAGTGAGCCGTACCGAACCGAACCGTACCGTACTATGCAGTGGAAAAGCGCCATATGAAGCCCCTCTTTTTGAAGAGCACACTGTGCTCTGATTGGTTGGCTGCACAAGTATGTTGTGATTGGTGAAGCGTTTCAAGCCTGTTTGGGAAATGTCCCGCCCCTTACCAGAACTGTGGTTTCAACACACTACTAACTAACTCAACTTTATTTCGTGTTCCTTCATTTTGCATATGCCTTGGTCTGGAATTATTTAAATAAGAATATTGTGACGTGTTCAAAACTCAAGACTACAATGGAGGTGTTTGAGGGAGTTTCAGGAAACAGTGCCTAATAATAATATTAACTCCCTTTGGAGTGACTTTGTGTTTTGTAACTTTCTAATGGTGCGTTCACACCGGACGCAAATAGCGTGTCAGGCGCGAACGATTTCAATGTTAAGTCAATGCAAAGACGTGTTACATGCGTAAAGATTCCTGCGGCGCAAATGAGGCGTGGAGCGCTGCGCGGAAGACGCTCAATAAGCCTCATTCGCCCTTCAAGTTCGCGAATTGAGCGTCTGGCGCGTTAAGCGCGAATGATTTAGTTAGTGCCATTTGTGCATTCACGCGTTTGACGCGAATTCGCGTCTGTCGCCCAGATTAGATGACAGCTAGATTAGGTGGATGAGGATGATCCTCGCTCCGATGCAGAGGTCATCAAACTGGACGCTGGACAGGCGGAAGTAACGCTGACAAGCGGCCGTCATCCAGGCGCAGCTCCTGGAGTGAGCAAATGGTGAAACTCGCCAAACGGTTCACCTCCGAAGGGTCCGGTGGACAAAAAAATGGGCCACGATGATCCCCAAGTCGCTGTTCTAGCTCTCCAGAGCGAATACAGTGCGGTGAATCTCTCGATGAATGCTCGATCAACAAAAACAAAGATGGCCGCCAACGGGTTTTGGTTTTTTGACGCGCGAGACGTGCGTAAATTTTAGGGGTGTGCAAAAAAATCGATTCACATTTGAATCGCGATTCAATCTTTACCGATTCAGAATCGATTCATAGAATTCCAAAAATATATTCATAGGCTAAATTTTTTAATGGCGTGCAATCAGTGTTTCTATGGTTTCGAGGCTGCGAGGGCCGGTCTGATAAATAGTTATGTTCTTGCCGCCCGCTGGTCAAACTGTGCAGCCACTCTGCTCAACCCGTAAATAAATGCATCGATCCGCAGATCTTATGTTTGAGTTCTGTAGATCTTTTGCCAAGCGTGTCAGAGGTTACGGGTTCTAAACCGCACTCGTATAGTTTTTTCTCTCTCTCATCAAAACCGAATATGTTCATCACGTTTGTGTGCATTTCATTTTGTGATTTCACCGGAGTCTCCACAACGGCGATAGATTGAAGCGCGCGTCAGAGAGAAGACTGCGCGAGCCACAGAGAACACTGTACCCATGACACTGATTGCAGCGGACACAAGCGCTCAGCTTGATTTCAAAAACAACAGGTCTCTTATTTATAAGCGACCTAAATGAATGCTCTGCTAGTTAACTGGAGAAACCCGCAAATTACTCGCCTATGAACGACTTCACTGGATCTAAACAAATCAATCTAACCATAGATGTTACCAGTTAGCGGTGGCTTTTTTAAATCTATTTAAAATATTTTCGCAAGGGTTCTATGAAATTAGTATATATTTTTAGGAAGTTCAATGTGCCCAGTCGAATTCACATTTCAACAGTCAACCTGGTAGCTGAAGTAGGCCTACTCCTTAACCACATTTAGCATAATTGTTTGTTTGATCTGACTATAGCACTTTAAAGCTAAATGTAAAAGCTTTTTATTTAAGTTTTATTTTAAACTTGAATTAAATGTATTTAAAAGCTGGACAAAGCTTGGCACTTCGCACTTTTTAGTCGCAAAAGTTTTTATTTTTGTATGAAGACATATAAAGTAATATCAAACTTTTCTTTTAAATTATGTCTACTGCAATCAATCACATAGGAAAAAGTAAACTACATTTATGTAGACCTGCGAATCGTTTTTTGAATCGAGAATCGTTTTTGAATCGAAAATCGATTTTGAATCGAATCTCGAGACAAAAAAATCGGTATCGAATCGAATCGTGACATTTTCTGAATCGTGCACCCCTAGTACATTTCGCTTCAAACTTTTTATTTTACTCGCATCAGTTTCGCTCTTGACACGCGAATTAACACAAAGTGGTCAAGCGTCAAACTAGGCGCGCCAGTCACGAATTTGACGTGCTATTCACGCCCGGTGTGAACGCACAGTTAACCTTTTTTCATGTTCAAAAAGCAACATTATATAATAAAGAAAGCTGAAAAGGTAAAAAAAAAAAGCACAATAGGTGCTCTTTGAATTAAATTTAAAATTAGATGACTCCAGGGGCGTCACTAGGATTTTCATTTTAGGGAGGCTAAGTCCCCAATTAAGAAAAAAACACTTTAGTTTAGGATCTAATGCTCACTATTAAGCATTTTCATTAGCATGCAGAGGCAGGGTTTAAAAGTCACTGTGGTTCTGAATGTGAGGTAGGTTAGTTAGGAGGGTTCAGGGTTTCCAAAAAGAAAATTTTAATTCCTCTGATCTACATATGTGTATTTTAAGATGTTTTGAAGTCCAAAAAAACATGTCAGTTCACAGCTGATTATGTCTCTCTCCTCATCAGCATCACCCTCTTTTTCACTTTGTTTTTATCTTGCCCTGTCTCTTCCCCTCCTAAAGCTGAGCTTTGACTGATATAGGCTTTTCATTTTTTATCTCTCAGTGAAGAAAGTAAACATAGGGTCAACTGATTCAATTTTTTTCAGACGTGTTTATTTACTGAAAGCTACTAAAGCTAGGTAATTAAGTTTATTAAATGCATTCACTTTCGAAGTCTGAATATGTATAGGCTACACATTCAGTATTGATCTTATGACTAATACAGGGCCGTAGACAGGGCTTTATAATCAAAGAGGTCCTAAATTTGAGGTTGGTAGGGGCTTCAAATTTTTTATTTCTCTGATATGTGCATTTCAAGACATTTAAAGACCAAAAAAGTTTATGAAATCGCTATAAAACTATGTCAGTAGACTATTTGCTCTCTCCATCACTCTTTCTTTTTTCCTCAGTCTCTTCACCCCTTTCTCTTCCCCTCCAAAGGCTGAGCTTTTTTAATGTACCAAAGGCTACAATTTGTATTATATTCTCAATATGTATACATTCATTATTACTCTTGTGCCTAAAATGATGAAAACAGCTTTGTTAATGTTTCTTGTCCCCTCACAATAACAGTAAACTAATTATTACATTACACGTGTCACGTTACATAGGCCTATGTTCAGCTCAAAATGGCGAAATTAGACAAAACTGGTAAACCGGTATATTAGTTTGCCTGAGTATTTTTTGTCATTCGTTTAACATTTATGACCTAAAAAATGTCAAATATGAAATTTAAAAAGTTTAGCTACTTACATAGGCTGCATCTTATCTCGAGTCTTATCACTGTTAAAATTTGTGAACATAAAGCCCGCCTACTTTGATTTGATTGGTCATCTCAAATATTCTGACATTGATGAGCAGTGACAGACCAATGAGGCTCATATGAACATACACACACACTGTCCTCTTCATTGAAGATGAAGAACGCGCTGAATCTGATTATAACAAGACTGAAGCGCCACTAAAAAGGGCCTAGGGAGCGACGCCCCGAATGACTCCATTTTTAATCTTTCAACATTTGCCATTGAGATATCATAGGCAGCAAAGATTCCTACACATAGCCGTCAACCCTCCCGTTTTTTCCGGGTTTCTCACGTATTTTAGCTCTTTTCCCGCTGTCTTCCCGTTTGAGTATTTTCCCGTAAAATATACCGTATTTTTACTCTCTGATTGTGTGAGACGTACGGGCTCGGACAGATTCGGCTTGAAGTCGTTTATCCTCGGATGCGGTGCCGCGCGCGCTGACCGGAGACACACTGGCTGCGTGGCGTGTCCGTTTTTATTGCACGCTGCCTGCGTGACACGCGCGTCTCCAGAAAACGCGTGCATGCTAGAAATAGAACTGACGCCTATTTTTCACGCGACAGGCAAGCGTGTTTCTTTGCCTGGAATTTCTTTGCGTTTCCAGGCAAAAATAAAATAAAATAAAATAGGAAACGATGTTTAGGCTAGCTGAATGTAATTTTGTACTCGAATACATATTAATACATTACATTTTGATGTTTGAAAGTCTAGGTTTTTACATAAATTCAGATATCAATGTAATTTACACAAAAAATAATTATTATAAATAGATTTTCAAATATATGAATAAAATATATTTTCTTTTTTTCCATTTGTTTCTTAAGCTTTTAACAATGTGATTACATGAAGAAGAAAAAAAAACGTTCTGGGCCTATAGGAGGATATAAAGATAGTGTGTCTTTTGAGTGATGGTCCACCATCAGGCTAAATAGGCTCTTTAAAGCTACACAAAATGTGTAAATGTAATTAAAATAAACAGACAGCCCACTTCCCTATTTTGCGGATTTTGGAAGATGTGTGATAGGCTAAATGTTGAAATTGTTGTCCAAATGCTAGAGCAACACACGCTAATCCAAATGTAGATTTTTTTCCCTTTAAATGACACTGTCTCTTTCTCTCTCACACATAGGCTAGATGAACACCTTAGACTTTTAAGGATTGTGCTTTATTTTTAAAGTTTGTGGGTGAGAATTGTGCAAAAAAAAAAAATCCCTTATTTTGGGGATGGATTCCGGGAAAACTCCCTTATTTTCAATGTTCAATGTTGACAGCTATGTTCCTACAAAGCATTAAAACTTTAAGTTTATGTTGTAAATGGGAGTATATGTGGAAATATTTAAAGGTACCTGATATGGGACAATGCTCCCATGGGCAGTTCCCCATCGCCTGGCCTCTAAACCAGCGTTGAGGTAGTTGGCAGCGATGTGAGTCAGACACGCAACCTGTAGACATATTGAAGGAGACAAAAGAAAATAAAGTTTTAAATCCTGAGAGCGGTCCGTAAGCTCATTATAGCCTGCTGTTCTGAGTGTTTTGATCTGTTTTCGTGACGCAGCAGTTCACGTAGCTGTGCCATAAAACGTCCCTGGAATCCACTGTTTGTTATTCTGGAAAACTAACCAACAAAAACTTTAAGAGATGGACTGATCAAACAAACATTTAAAAAAAAAATCATTTATCATTTCAGATTCAGCAATCATCTCCTTTGCAACGTTTGAATAAAGCCGTTAACAAAAAAGGTGTTGGCTTTTTTACGACGCCCAGGTGACATCAGATCAGAAGCAATGCAGCTGAGACAATATTTTGCGACGTATAACAATGTACTGAGAGGACGCTGAGAATGTGAAGGGAGGTGGAGTATTTTGTCAGATCAAAGCACGTCGGTGATGATTTAACGGTCTCTGGACACGATGGTTGTGCGGCTCCAGACCGGCCGGACTGTCCTGCCGTACACCTTCAGTTCGACACATTTATCACTTCCAGCCAGTTTATTTCCATGACGTCTTGCACTGAGGCGTCTGTTTACCAAAACATTGGTTTCAGTGTTTAAACTGCAGGAAGCGATCTCATTTTTGTCCATGTGCAAGCATATAAAAATCATTTATTAGGTCAACACTAAATCACATCGGTGGCATTTCTTAAATCAGGTAATGCAATGCTGTGAATGTTTAGCTTGGGGAAGTTTTGATATGTTAATAAAACAGATATACTGTAAAGATCTAGAAGTAAGCTCATTTATTAGGTCTTGGACTGAACCAGAGACATGTGCAATGCGTACTTTACTTGAAGGGGTGTGCATAAGACTGACATGACACCTTCATAATCATGACATGACGTATGTTATGTTTAATGCATGTTTGTGACAACTGTCATTAAGTGTCATTCGCTCAGTTATGACATTTTTAATGCAAATATGACATTGTTTGAGATGTCTTTGTTATGACACCTTGACCTAAACCAATACATCATAACCTGTCAGTGTCTTTGTTATGACAACTTGACTTTACTAAGACAACACAACCTGTCATATACATGACATAGCAGATTAATGATCAAACTTAAGAAAGCACCTAGCTTTATTGGTTAACATTACATTAAACTGTCAGGTGGTTGGTTTTGACATTGGCTGTCATGAAGACATTATAACATTTTAATGACAAATTCAATTAAAGCTGCAAGCAGCATTTAGCGGGGTTCAAGCAGTTTAGGCCTTTAAGGCCTTTAAGCACAAAAGCATCAAAAGACATTAAGTTTTAAGATTCAATAATGGCAATTTACTATAGGGTATATATTGTTTTTAACATTTTTAACAGTTATAGCGCCACCTATAGTCCGATCTCCATGAAACTTTGCATGCTTGTTGAATAAGTTATGACACATGTGCTCATCAATTTTTGTGAAGTTCTGACTTTTCCTTTAGGATTTATAGGCTTTTGGGTGCATTTTGTCATGCCCCCTTTTGTAAATGACCCTGTTATAGCAAAACAAAAGACAAAGTTCAACTTTTTTTGATAATTATTGATCTAGAGAGTCCAAAGAATTGTCCTAGACTGGTCTGGTTCCGATAGTTGAGGACATGAAAAATATACAAATTAGAATTGAGTAATAATTAAATCAAATTATTCCTTAAAAGTTAACCATTTTAAATGAGTAAAGTTTACACCAAAACAAATTTATAAAAAAATATCTCACTAGATTAATTAAGAACTATTTAGTTGACAACACTGAAGACACCTGACGTTAACGAGCAGAATCACTGAAGGAGAAAACCGTCATTTTAAAACAAACCTAAAACAAACACCAATCACCATAACGGTCACTTAAATTTATGTTTGTTTGTTTTTTTGGTTGTTGTTGTTGTAAGTTTTACTCATTTTAAATGGTTAACTTTCAACGAATTAATTTGATTAATTGTTACTCAATTCTAATTTGTTACATTTAATTAATAATATAGCTTGTAATCTGTTGCCACAATTTGTTTGATTAGATAAAGCATATTCGTTTTTACAGTGCATGGCCTCATGACAGCCAATGTCAAAGCCAACCACATGACAGTTTAACTTAAATTTATGTCAAGTTGTCGTGACGAAGACACTGGCAGGTTATGATGTATTGGTTTATGTCAAGATGTCATAACAAAAACATCTTAATGTCATATTTGCATTCAAAATGTCATAACTGAGCGAATGACACTTAATGACAGTTGTCATAAACGTGCATAAACCCTACTTCATATTCAAGACATATGTCATGTCATGGTTATGAAGGTGTCGTGTCAGTTTTATGCACACCCCTTCAAGTAAAGTGTTACCAAAACTTGTCTTTAAAAATCAGGTGTTTTCTTGAGAAATAATTGTCATTATTGAGAATATATGCAATTATACCATGCACATAGACCCTTCATTAGTGCCACAGCCCCACTGAAGCAGGGTTGAGTCTGGTCAGTCTGGATTGGAGACCTGGGAAACCCAGTGTTATCTGTCTGGGTCCTAACGCCCCAGTATAGTGATGGGGACGCTACACCTTCAGAAGAGGCGGTAAACTGAGGTCCTGACTCTATGTGCTCATTAAAAAACCCACTGGCACATCTTCTAACACCAGAATATGACCCTGTAAGGACTCTTGTCTTGTAATAGTACCACAAAGTAGAACTAAAAGATTCAGTGATGCCGCTTTTAGCTGCTATGCTAACGAAGACAGCTGAAAATATATATAGTTTTAAATCTAAATTAAAAACATACTACTTTAGTCTCATCTGCCTGTATAATGCTTTTTATATTTTTTCTTTGTTTTTACTTATTTTATGCCTTAGTTAATTCTTATAAACTAATTTTACTGGTCTACTATCTATTGTTTGTGAATCACTTTGAACTGCATTGATTTGTTTGGAAAAAGTCCTAAATAAATAAAATTCGCTCGCTTGCTTGTAAAGAGTAGGGGTGTAACCTCGTGTCGTAGCCAAATTTCCTCCATTGGCCCTTATAAATGGCCTAAATAATCCCTCATCACGCTCCGTGTGTGTGGCGAGTGCACTGACGCCGGTGTGTGTGGCTGTTGTCGCATTATCCGAGCGGATGCTCAGGAGAGATCCCTCATTTTAATGTAAAGTCCTTGCTTCCGCCCGCCCCTTCGTGCACCACAACCTTTTATTTTGTTGTGGCTTCAACAAATAATAATAAAAGAAAAAAAATTCAACATAAACAATCAAACATAAGCTATGTCAACTCCAAGTATATACTAGATAAATGAACACTGTTTTTTTTTGCTCATTGTTATACGGTTTTCAAATAACATGAATTCCCATTTTATTTCCCCCTTTTTTTAAATTCTCTGTTTTGACAGCACTTTACAAGGTGGCTACGCAGTGTTATTTGTCATTTAACACGTTATTTATAGTATTTATTCACATATTAACATTCATTTATTAATATTTAATCATATTTTTAATCATGAGCTTTTATTTTTATGTTCTTAGTTTTTATTTGTAAAGTTTTAGTAATCAACACAGTTTGTCATTTTATTAGCTATTAGTTATTTTTTTATTTAAATTTGAAGTTTCGTAATTTTAGTACGTCAGCCTAAAGTTATTTTCAAGTCATTTTGTATTTATTTCAGCTTTATTTTTGTGAAAACAATTGTAAGTATTAGTTTTAGTTCACACTAACAACACTCCCAATGGCTTTATTATTGAATATGTATGTGCATAAATTAATTTTATGTATAAATTCAGCTGCTCTTTTGACAATTTTGACCATTTTGGTTTATTTCTTCCTCATTCAAGCAAATAGTGAACCGACTTGCGTTACAGGGACTGAACTTATGTTATTTCCCAGCAAACGTCTGCTGCCCTACAAACTTAACAACAACAACTCTATTCAACACTTCTACGCAACAGAGAGATAGAGCCAAGTACATACATGGATGAGTTGGTTTAATATCAAAGGCAAAAAAGCCAAGTAGCATGTTGTTACACTCATAGCACCTCGTGTGAAGTATTCACCACAGATCTTTAATTTAACCTGCTATAAACATTTACAGGGTAGCAAGAGGTCGCTAAATATCACTGTTCTCCAAATCTGCCACACACATGTTCTTCTAGCCATATATTTTCCAATTAAAACACAATATAATGAACTAAAGCGCATCTCGGTCTCCTCTCCTGGGCTCGGATCTTGTTCTTGGCACAGCATCTGAGAAAATGTGAAAACTTTTCAAGCTGTTTCACTCAAAACAAAAATCGCCGATACTTCTGTCACCTTACTCTACACAGGCACTGTTTCATAAGATAAGAAAGTGCGTATTAATTCAATGTTATTAGTTCTAAAGCGTCTGTTTCACATTTCTGTCTTCACGTTGGCAATTGGACTTTTCAACAAACAACTGTTTATTTTCCGATTGACAGCCGAACTTATTAAGGACGGCAAAAAAACGAAAAAGTGGTGTTGATTGATGTATTTGTTTTCAATCAGTTGCAAACACAAATCACACTAATGCGATCCAGAAGGAAAAGTCTGAATGTGCACATTTCCCTGCTGCAGATTATGTGAAAATGATGCCGTATCGCATCTGCTGAGAGTACGACGTGTGCAATCAGCTTACTTATTGCATTAGGCCAAAGGAGCGGAGAAACAAACAGATTAAAACAAAAAACAAGGACGGAGAACCACGAGTTGGGCAGCTCTTTCCAAGTGTAAGTTGTTGCTCATGGTTATTAGTGAAACATACAGGTCAAAGGTCAATGCCAATATGGCAGCCGTACTGTAGTGTAAGAATAGGTATTGACCAATTCATTTAATTCACAAGCTTGCTATTTGATTCATTCGTTTACTAGAGTTTTATTGACGTTTTTCCGCAGTTGAAACACTCTTTGAATGATTCCCACAGTACAGATCCCAGTTCCAGTTGTTTTTTTCTCCAGTAAATCTGGGACGAATATCCCTGG